TGGTGGCCTCCTGCCCTTCCAGCTCTGGTGTCCCCGGCCCTTTGGTACCTACTCCCAGAACCAGCCGCGCCCGCCTTCCACATCCCTCAAGTCATCAACCTGCTCCGAGCCAGGCAGTGGGGCTGAGCCCGACCATGGGCCTGCGCACTCGGAGAATACCCCGCCAGCCTTGGCTGCAGAGGCCCCTGCTGCTCAGCCTGCTCCGCTCCTCTCAGCAGCAGGTGCTGGTGATGAGGGCCGAGTCCTGCTGGACACGTGGTATGTTATCAAGCCTGGGAATACAAAGGAGAAGGTGGCCTTCTTCGTGGCCCACCAGTGTGGTGGAGGCAGCCGGGCCAGCTCCATGAAGGTCAAGGGGCACTGGGGCAGTGACAGCTCCAAGGCCAAGCGGAGGCGGCGCTGTCTGGAATCCACCAAAGCTCCTCCGGACCCAGGGGGCCGGGAGGGACCCCCTGCTGCCGAGGGGGGCCCCACTTCAGCAGGGGAGGATGTGGACTTGCTCTCTGTAGCAGAGATGGTGGCCCTGGTAGAACAGAGGGCCGCCCTGGCTCTGCAGAGCTATCCCCGCCCCACCACCCCAGCGCCTGTGGTCTTTGTGTCGGCTGAGCAAGGTGGACCACCTAAGGGGCTGGGGTCTGAACGGAGGTCTGGCGGTGGTGACTGCAGTCGTGTGGCTGAAGCAGTAGCCCATTTTGAGGCTCAGCGGGACAACCCTCCGACCAAGGGCCTCCGCAAGGAGGAGCGGCCAGGGCCAGGTCCTGGTGAGGTACGCATTGCCTTCCGCATCTCCAATGGCAGGGAGCCCCGCACACCAGACGGCAGCCTACCCAATGGAGGTGGGGGCCGGTCTGGTTGTGCCTTCCCTGGCAGCCCAGGTCCTGGGGCTCGAACCAAGGACAAGATCACCTGTGACTTATACCAGCTCATCAGCCCTTCCAGGGATGCCCTGCCCAGCAACGTGGAGTTCCTGCTGGCTAGGGCAGATGAAGCCAGCGAGGCTGAGACCCCAACCCCTGCCAGGCCTGAGGACACTCCCCCCGCCCCACCCCCACCCCCTGCCCGGGACTGTGGAGCGTCAGGCTTTCACGTGGATGTGGTGGTGACAGGTGTGGTGGACGAGTGCATCTTCTTTGGTAAGGATGGCACCAAGAATGTAAAAGAAGAGACAGTGTGCCTGACTGTCAGTCCCGAGGAGCCACCCCCACCCGGCCAGCTCTTCTTCCTCCAGTCTCGGGGGCCAGATGGGCCCCCTGAGCCACCCCCAGCTGATGCGCCAACCACGCTGCCAGGCCCAGATGATGCTGAGGGGACAGCAGACACCTCCCTATGCCGCCTTTACCGTCATGTGTCACACGACTTCCTGGAGATCCGCTTCAAGATCCAGAGGCTGCTGGAGCCACGACAGTACATGCTGCTGCTGCCCGAGCACGTGCTGGTCAAGATCTTCAGCTTCCTGCCCACAAGGGCCCTGGCAGCCCTCAAGTGCACCTGCCACCACTTCAAGGGCATCATCGAGGCATTCGGCGTCCGGGCCACAGACTCACGCTGGAGCCGAGACCCGCTGTACCGCGATGACCCTTGCAAGCAGTGCCGCAAGAGATACGAGAAGGGTGACGTGTCACTCTGCCGATGGCACCCCAAGCCCTACCACCACGACCTGCCTTACGGACGTTCCTACTGGATGTGTTGTCGCCGAGCTGATCGTGAGACACCAGGCTGTCGCCTGGGCCTGCACGATAACAACTGGGTGCTGCCCTGCAATGGGCTGGGTGGGGGCCGCACTGGCAGGGAGGAGGGGAGGTGAAGCCGGGGGAGGGGGAGGGAGCTCATCATGCCCACCCTTCCCCCATCCCCTGGGAGCCAGGGACCAGGACTGGGCCACCAGCCCACACCCCAGTCCAGGCAGTGTTGATCACCCACCAGAACTGAGACCAGGGTCAGGGTGACCCACGAGAACACTCTGGTTGACCCCTGTTGGTTTTGTACTCCTCAGACCCAGGTCCGTGGACCCTCAAGTAGGGTGTTTTTTTATCAGCATCTCAGTTTCTTCTCCATTCAGCCCCAGCACCCTCCCTGCCACTCTCTACACCCCAGGGACCCACCAGCAGGGAGCTGACGGCAGCTAATTTTGGTACCACCTAAGGCTTCCCCATGCTGGCCCGCTTCTGCGCCTTCTCTCAGTTCTTCGTCTCTGGAGCTGTTTTCTCCAAGAGGCTACAGCATTCAAGGTTATACCTTTCTAAACTTACCAACTAGGGCTCACCTCCTTTTTTGGAATTGGGGGCCATCAGATCACAAGGTAGATCTGGCACTTTATCATAGCAGCCTGCCATTTCTATGTTTTCCTTATGAAAGAAATAAAAATCAATGTTTTCTCCTTAATCTCAAGTTACCAGTCTGTTCCCTTCCCCTACAGGGGAAGAGAAAAAAAAAAAAACAAAAAAAACCCTTGAATTATAGAAACTTTCTTTCTTCCCATTATTTAAGCTATTGCCTTCACTCCTCCCCCAGTAAAGCTGTGAAGCCCTTTGCCTCGCTTTTGACAGCGTGGGGGGCCAGAGGGCAAAGGACTGTGGGTTTGAATTTCTAGATGGTTTTTCCTTCAACTGTGGGTACTTGTTAAGGCATTGGGGTCTCTTCATCCCTAGCCACGTTTCTTTAGAATCTTTTGGTCATTTGGGACCTTGATTTTCAGGCAGTTTGGTCTGGGGTGTTTTTTTTATTTGTTCTTTTTGGGGTTTTTTGTTTTTTCATAATTGTGGTTCTGGAAGCTTCTAGTGTGTGGCATCTGACCAATTTTGAATTGGTCCTTTCTATAAAATCAATATTTATAAGGCTGGGCCCAGACTGGTCTGTGTGTTATTAAGGGAGGGGAATTGGGAAGAGAAGAGCGTCTCAGGCCTGTGCACAGGAGGATGGAAAAAAATAGAGATGGGTCCCTTAGCCAAGTCCTGAGCCTGAGATTATTTTCAGCTCATCTCATCTGTGTCAGTGTGAATTTGGAAATCTCAAAATAGTAGTTGCTTGAACAAAACCATTTTTCTTTCTTTAAAAATCCAGTGTTGAGCAAAAATGGTGGTCCTCGAGTCATCAGGAAGCCAGGCCCCTTAGCTCAGTATCCCATCATGCCTTGTCTCTGCACTTAGCCTTGTGGCCTAAGGGGACTGCTAGCAGAACTCCTGCCTGAATGTGTTGCAGTGGGGGTACCCCTTCCTCTCATGAGTCCTGCACTACACCTCTGCATCTCAGTGCTCAGCATGTGGCCACATGGAAGGGCTTCGAAGGAGACTGGGAGTGCAGTCTTATAGCTGGGTGTAGTATGCCCAACCAAAAACCTGTTTATCTAAGATCCCAGTAATTAAAGTTTTAAAATAGTCAGTTATTTTACTAAATAAAAGTGGAATTAGACATTTTTTTAATTTATTTTAGTTGTTGATAGACCTTTATTTCATTTACTTATATGTGGTGCTGAGAATCGAACACAGTGCCTCACACATGCCAGGCAAGTGTGCTGCTGCTCAGCCCCAGCCCCAGCCCAAGACATCTTTTTAATTAAGTATAAAAGAGAAAAATGAATACTGAGCAGGAAGTAGCAGTTGCTGACGTTCTTATCAGGGAATCAATATCCAGAGAGACTAGGGAATATCATAGTAGTAACTCAATGCTTAGATTTTAGAACCAAAGAGACCTGAGTTTGAATCTTAGGTTTGATTTTGTGGAGCTTTGGTTTCTCCTCAAGTGTGAGTTTGGCTCCTTCTGCTGAAAATAACTGAAATAACAAATCTCCTAAAGAGCTCAGATGGTCAGTAAAATACCATGGGACCCAGGAGACAAAAAGGGAAAAGTATGTGGGCCCTGAAACCACTTTGCCCTTAGGGCATTTGCTGAAGTGGATAAACTTGGGTTTCCTATGTGACCTCCTTACTGGGACAAACAGGCTGAAGTCCTGCCCAGTATAATAAGAGCCAAAGGAGTGGGGATCCCAGAGCACCACACACTCAGGTTAGCATGATCCAGAAGACCCTGGAGATGTTTGGAAAGCAGGGGGAGCACAAGACCAAAGGAAAGAAAAACTGACCCTGAGAATTGGGGGTCATAGACTGCACAGGTTTGCAGCCAGGTTCACATCACCTGTATGATCAGGGTACATTTGCTGAGAGGTTGGGCAGAAACAGTGGAACTGTCATCTAAAATTCCACAAATAATCCTTTTAGACAATGAATAGTAAACAACCACACATGGAAATAAAGCAATAAAAGCAGGAACCAGCAGAAACAACCCTCTGGACAGGTCCACAGAGTTTTCAGACAGAACTCAGTCACATATTAGGTAAAATATAAAATTTTTTGTTTTAAAAAAATATAAGAGCTTGGAAATATCAGCAGGGAACCTCAAACTAAAAACTCTCCTAGCAGATTGGGGAAGGGGGCAGGCAGCCCACACACAGAACTTGTAGAAATGAAAACTATAGTAACCATATATATTGAATTAAACCTAATGAGAGAAATGCAACACAGAAACACAAACACAAAAGAAACCTGAGAAAATAGGAAAGAAAGGTTATGGAGGACAGTGAGAAGGTCTAACACACATTCCAGAATCAGAAGAGAGATGGTACAAAGATAATATTTAAAGATGTGATGGTTGAGAATTGCATACTTATGAGACACCAATAAACCCAGTGAATCATAAGCAGGGAAAATTTTTTTAAATGCAGTGATGACACCTAGCTGTATGATCTTGGGCAGTTGGTTCCTCTGAAGCTGTTTCTTAATCTGGAAAATAAGAATACGGGTTGAGCATTCCTTATTCAGAATTCCTGGCATCACACGTGTTTTTAAGATTTAGGATTTTTAAGTCGGGAGTGCTTGGTATTTTTATATATACATATCTCAAGTTAAAAACAAAATTTGGGGCTGGGGATGTAGTTTGGTGGTAGAACACTTGCGTAGCATGTAGGAGGCCCTGGTTCCATCCTTTGCACCTCAAACAAACAAAAAGCCCACAAAACTTATTTGCTTTATTTATACCTTACACACAGAACCTGAAGGTGATTTTATACATTTTTAGTTCACCACCATTTTAAATGCAACCTGTCACCTGAAGTCAGGGGTGGAATTTTCCATATGTGGTGTCAGTACTCAAAAGTTTTGAACTTCGGAGCATTTCAGATTTTTGGATTAGGGATGCTCAGCCTGTCCCAACAATTCCTCAGGAGACTGGTAAGTGCTCAAAACTTGTACACCTGTGGTTCCTTCATAGAGTGAAGCTGAGGGAGCTCAAGTGTGAGTGTGCATGGGAGCTGCAGGGCTTACTGGCCTGGAAACCTGGGGAAACACAAGCTTGCCAAGCATCAGCAGCTTGATCTATAACATGGGTCTCATAGTCCTTACCCTGGATTCAAGCCAAAAATGTTCATAGAGCCATTTAAAAGCCACATGCTACTTTTTTCCAGCAAACTAGTCATCCAGCACATCCAGCACAGGTGACATGGAGAAGGGAGGACACAGGGGTCCTTGGAATCACAGCTGCATGTGAAACGGGTCTCTCCAAACAACTGGTTCACAATTCTCTGGGCCACCTCACCTGCAAAATGAGGACTGAAACTGTACCTACTTCAGGGTTTGGGGGCAGACTAAATGAGTTGTTATAAGTAAATTGCTTGTGCCCAGCACATAGTAGGTTCCCAATAAATGTCAGTGACTAGAAGAATCTAAGTTGAGGACCTTCTGGTTTCCTCCCTAATTTGATATCTTGAGTTTCAGCCCTGGTGTTCCCTGGAGTCTTCTGCATCACTGAGTTGACTTGGAAGGCCCATGTTCAACTTCCTCATTTAATAACCTTCCATCTTTCTTTCTTTCTTTCTTTTTTTTTTTTTTGTACCAGGGATTGAGTCCAGGGGCACTTAACCAGAGATCTACATTCCCAGCCATTTTTATTTTTCAGTTTGAGACAGGGCCTTGCTAAGTTGCCGAGACTGCCTTTGAACTTTTGATGAGCCTCCTGAGCTGCTGGGATTATAGGTGTCTGGCATAACCTTCCATCTTGTCTTCTGGGGATGGAGCCCAGGGCCTCACACACTAGAAAAGTGCTCTGCCAGCAAGCTGCACCCCCATGTGGCTCCCTGCATCTAGGGCTTTTTTTTTTTTTTAATATATATTTTTTAGTTGTAGTTGGACACAATATCTTTATTTTTTTGTCATGCTAAGGATCAAACCCAGGGCCTCGCACATGCTAGGCAAGCGCTCTACCACTGAGCCACAATTCCAGCCCTTGCATCTAGAGTTTTCTTTTGAGTAGGTTTACTAAGTTGCTATGCATGCACCAAGCAGCATCCTTAAAGACAGGGTGCCCCAAACTCTGCTGAGAGACTCCCTTAGGTTGTTAGAATCCCACCCCCTCCCTTGAGTCTGGCTCAGTAGGTCTGGGGTGGGGCTTGCAAGTCTGCCTTTTTAACAAATTCCATAGCTGAACATGAAGATTAGGTGGGGCTGGAGATTCTTCCTCACTGCACTCAGTAAAACCCACCATCCTACATGCTCGTGGATGACAATGGGTTGGTATAACTAATGGAGCAATTCTAGGTGTGTCTGATCCATTCCTGCCGCAAGCCCTCTCAAACATTCCAATCCCTGCGTTTCCCAAAATATCTTATGAAGTACCTAGTTCTGTGTGGTGCTTCCTAATTATGGGGCTCCATGATGAGATACTTTGGGAACCACTGCATTCTCTGTCCTACTGTGGAGAATTCAAGTTGTGCAGTGAGGAAACGCCACTAGCTTGATCTCTGATCCACTTAAAACTCTGGTTTGTTGCCCACTGGGTCAGGCAGATCTGGAGCGCCGAGGTCTTGGCTTCCATCTCTTCTGTCTGAGCCCAGCCGCTGTGGGCCTCCCTGGGGAGATAGAGGTCTGACTCGGGCAGGAACAAGACTGCCATTCCCGAGAATGAAATGACACACAAACGCAAGCCACAGAGACTTCGTTTGGTTGGGTGCTGCTGTTCCAGATGCCAGTCCATGGTTTGCTGACTAAAGAACAGCGTTTGGTCCCTGCAGACCTTCCAGACCAAGTGTTTGCCTCAGGGCAGGGCCCAAGCTCTTGTGCCTTTGGCTCTCGAGAACCCCCACAGTGGTCCCTTCCATGTCCTTGAAGCGTGGGTAGCTTCAGACAAAGGAAAATGGACTTTCCAATTGTAGCACAGATAGGAGCCGAAGGTGTCAGAAAGGACAAGCTAGCATGCTGGAGGTTGACCCAGCTGAGCTCCGCTGGCACTGGGTGCCTTGGCATGTGCCCTGGTGGGCACTTCTTCCTTAGAGTAAGGTCCTCCTCAAGCACTGACCCAGCAGGCTAGAGCCCCAGGTACTCAGCCAGGAACACAGCGAGGATGCGGCTCAGGTTGTAGACCGTGGGTGGGTGGAGATTGGCCTCGGAGTCAGAAGGTGTGTGCCAGACGGTGGGGAAGGGCGTGGAGATGAGATGGAGCACGGGGACCCCTGAAGGTGAAAGAGGAGACTTGGTCAGGCCTGCTTTGGCCCACAGCTGATCCAGAGACCAGGCCCAGGCCCAGGCCCTGAATAGAGTTTAAATGTATGAGGATACATGCTGGTTTTTTTAAAAATCGGTATACCTTTTGTTTTCATAACAAATTAGAGAAACAATGGATTATGGAGAAAATAGAAGATGAGAAAGATGTCCTTGATTCTCTTTACCAGATATACGTTTTCTCTTTAATAATAACATTTATATTGTACTTGCTGGATTCCAGGCCCTAGCCTAATATCTCTCTCTCTCTCTCTCTCTCTCTCTCTCTCTC